AAGGAGCACTGACGATGATTCATTCGGAATCGAAATATGGCCTTATTTGCAGCATGAATTCGAAAAATAAGTTTATTTTGAATTTTAATAAACTAAACGTTCACCAAAAAACTTTAGTGAGAAAAATCGAAAAAACGAACTACAAACATATTAACGTCAAACATTTATAGAATATTGTAAAAATTATGGTCTATTACCAACATATATATATATATATATATATATATATATACATATATATATATATATATATATATATATATATATATATATTATACATATACGTATATATTCATTCATTTATTTCAGGTCTCTTAGTGTTTGTGCGCTTGCAAACAGGCGTGGATGTGTATTTGTTTGATTAATGAATGTTTGCTTGTTTGCCTGCACGGGCGGGTAGACACGAATACCAATGAACATTTCATTCAAGAGAAAATTCATCTGTGTGGATGTCTTCAGCTTGGTTTCGTTCAAATTCCTACACTTGTGTGTTATATATTATAAATAATCACGGTGTAAATAGAATTTCTTTTGAAAAAAGTAGCTAAGTTTGATGGGAAATAAATTGTGTATGGAACCTGAAAAATCTTTGGCCACCAGGTCAGTAGCTCTAATAATTCTCAGCGTCAGGGTCTGTTCTGGGAAATCATAGGAAATACTGAACTGAATTCTACCTGTCGATTGTTAATAACAGTCAGTGGATAAAAATTAGAATTGGCAACAGTAACGCTGTAATAGTTATAACGCAACGCTATAATAATAATAATAACGCACAATATAATTATGATACCACAAATATATCGAGTATACACATAATCAGATTTAAAAACTACGTATAATCTACATATAATACATACATAAATATAATCATTCAGATCAACAAATATGTTTAAAACCGTGTTTCTTGGTAGACAGTAAGGTGTTTGCACAACTAATGATTTCAATAGTAATTTTTCAAAAACATCATTTTAAATGAGAATCGTATAGTCGGATTATGAATTTAGATTTTTTTACGACTTAACATATCTTAGATTCAATAATAACAGATCAGCAACAAAAATACAAAAATTACGTACCAGCAATGTAAATGATTCAAAAATAATTGTGATCCGGCCTTATCGTGGCATGTTGGCATAATAATTGTGAACTGACCTAATTGTTTGCTTCCAGATTGGTTTTCTGGATCATCGGTACAGGATTGTTGGTGTTGTAAGAGTTGCTTGTCCATCTGCTGTTCATGTTCAACGACGTAAATTTAGAATTTTTTTCAATAATACAATTATTAGGTAATATTTGCAAACACATGTCAAATTTCACACAATTTTTTAACATAAAAACATTTTTTCTATAAAGTTTAAGAAAAATTGTACTTACATTTGGTTTAAATCTATTTTTTACAAAAGAATCTAACTGGAAAATAATAAAAACATTTCAACAAAAATGGATATATACTTTTGTAAAATAAAAGTATTCTTTGTTGTGAATTTAGATTTTTATTGACAGATATCTAGCATAACGTAATTTTTACCGCAAAAATACTAATAAAACGTTTACTTTACATTGAACAAGAAATTGCATTGTCTCAGATGTTGAAAAATAATTTTTTAGGTTAAATTTGGGAAAATTGAAAAAAATCAAGTAAATGTTCGTTCACGCAATTAGTACATTCAGTTTGTTGCTTTCGTATTATTTTATTTAGTTATTTGTTTGATTTGTTGCCTGGTTTATCGCAAAGCATGTTTATGGAAAAGATTTAAAGAGATTTTTAAAAGCTGAGTATAATGAAACAAAATCTTTCTATTTAGTTATAGTCAAAATATGTGAGAAAAATAAACCCAATGCTAATTAAAGTTTTGTTAGAAACTCAACCGATATTAAATCCTTTGTGGCAGCTCCATCACCAACATCATTCAAGTTCGTGTCCAATGTTCCGACGTTGCTGTTGCTGTTGTTGCCGGTGTTGTCGTTGTTGACACTACCAACACTGATGTTGTTGCTGCTGTTGATGTTATGATGATGTGATGTCTTCATCATGTGCTCGTTGGCGTCCAATTGAGGACTGTCCAGATTGTTGCTCTGCTTGCCCTGTTTGTGCGTTCGTGAGGTGGTGTGCTAAGATGTTTATTTGATAATTTTCTGTTCCGGCTACTAATGATCAATGTAATTTGACCAAATCGTGTGTTGGTTTGGATAATTTTATAGGAATTGTTTTATGCAATTGCACACTGATTTTGTTTGCTATAATAATAAATGGCAAAATAAACAATGACTAGCTTCATGCATCTTCGTTTATAAACTTGAAAACATCTATTTGTTTAACAATTGTCGTTTGAAAAGGCAGAAATGAATGATGAAAATGTCGAAATGCATGTGAACATGTCGCTAGCTTCTGTTTGGTTAGCCATTAAACATGTCAAATATAACATATTTTCCATAAAAGAATGAATACTGCTTATAAACAATTGTGGATGCAAAAATACGTAGCATAAAAATCTGTTGAAAGATAAATTTGAAAAATTACAATAACAAAAGTTTTTTCGGACTATATTAAAAATATTCCGATGTCTAATACGCGACGATAGCCAACAAAAATTGTAAAAACTAGTAGGAAATAACAAAATTTTTATACTGCTTACAAATTTAAAAATTTTAAAAATTGTAAGTCGATTGTATGTGAAATCAACTGGTGCACGTACGTTAACTTATATACACTTCATTAGGACCGGCAAAGAAATAACTTACATTCATTTGTTTGACTGTCAAGAAGTTTGTTTTAAAAAACTTTAAAAGCGTTACCATAACGTTGAATTGATGAGTTTTTTTTAACCGCATACTTCAATGGCGGTAAATGAGATTGTATTTTTTTAATTTTTTTAAACATCGTAAAATGCCAAACAGGCACGTTTAGTACTTCGGAACTATTCAACGTTAGAAATATTTTTCCATTTTTCCAATAAAAACAAGCTGTTAATTATATCACGTTTCAAAAAATTTATTCAAATTTAAAGTGTTAAAAAAATTAATGTGAAAATATAATATTGTTATCAAAACATCAAAGAAGAAATTAGCACAAGTAAGAAGGCATGCAATGCAATACGGGAACGTTGAAATAGAAGCTTCTAAATTTTAAAATCAAGTGTACCTCGCCAAACAGTTTACAAACTATTTTTTGGCTGTTTTGCTACTTCTACTGTTTGCATTTGTAAGTTCCTTCAACAACGCATCCGTGATTTCAGTGACCCATGGTTCTTTTGGGGACAGTCTTGTGACACTCACAGTCTCACTGAGGATCGCCATTTCGTAACAAGAACGTGTTGCAAAGTGAAGTAAAAATGAAGTTGCATTTACAGTGTAGCAAAATATTAAATTTTTAAAATCATAACTGTGCTCTCTTGAGAAATATTTCAGAATTGTATAACTTTAATTAGAGCCGTGGCTTTATGAAGAGTTAACATTGGCATTGACTGTTCAGGAGATTTGGTATGTGATATTTCAGTGTTGAATATTCAATGTTTAACATTTTAAACTATCAAAATGCAAAAAAGTTGTCTCCTGTGAAGTTGTTAATTTGAATTTTTTTTCTGAATATAGCTAACACAGACTTAGTAACAATTGGTATAGAATTGAATACTTTTAAAATGTGAAACAAAACTTTAAAATGTATTATTTTAATTTATTTTTAAGTGTATTGATTACAAAAAATATAAAAAGTAACTTTTAGATTATAAAATCAGTTTTTAAACTTTTAAACTTTTTCAACAGTTTTTGACATCTAACTTTTATAAACTTTCTGTGCAACCTCCTTCCATGTTCATTCGTGCTATTTAGGCCTTCAATTTCAAAAAATGTCTAGCAAAATATATTTTATTCAACCAGATTTTCAAAAAAAATTACATACTTAGCATTTTGCTTGCTTACTTTTGCCTTTGTTGACAGAAAACATCAATTGTCGCACTGATTGCTAAACAAACATTAAATGATCTTTTGCTATTTCTTCATCTTATGCGTATACATGCCGACTGCATTGTTGTTCGAGCATGTACGTACAACATTACTCACATAATGCCTACCTGATTAAACAACCGCTGCAAAAAATCGTGCGTGGGTTAGGTTGGCTGGTTTGTCCAGAAAATTTGTATGGAAATATATGCACACGTTCCAGGGGCACAATTCCCCTTTTTTCGACATGAATAGTCGGTTAGTGTCATTTCGCCGCTCTGATAAGAAATTCATTTTTGTTTGTCGCATGTCGTTCCCATCTTTCGTTGCTTATTTTTAGTTTTATCGTCTCAGCAGAAAAAGAGAATGTATTCGTTTCTCCAACATTTATTTATGAATGATATAACATAACATAGAAACATGTTTCAAAACGCAGTTTTTGGTTTTTCGATCTCATTAATCATTCCTCACTGCCCATCTTATTTAAATTTCAAATCATGTTAACACTTGAATATGTTACATGTTTGCGTCGTTAAACGTGCAAGAAAATATTTATATTTTTCTAGTATTTGAACACTTGCCGAACATTCATCAGTCTTCATTCAGTGAAACACCTAGAAAGGAGGCAATACATTTCAATAGGGCATCTGTTCGTCTTGCCGAGTAATCCGACCGAGTAACTATTTAACATGCATGCACTGCACACATTCACGCGTTTGTACATTGCGTATGAAAAAGTTAAATTTATGCTAATTCAATTGCTTTTTATAAAATGCTAATACTTGAATTTCAAGTATACAATCAAATTCTCCACTATTTAATTTATGCTTATTGATTCTTCACAATCGAAAAACTGTCATGGACTTGTCTATTTATTGTGTCGAAAACTGCAGTCCTTTACTTGAGTATTTTAAGACCACATAAACTTTATAGCTCATTTCAAATTCGATAAGTTTGTCGCTAATCAAATACATAGATTTGGATTGAAACGATTTATTTGTAAACTAACTAAAGTTTCAATGTAAACAACTGTATGCCAACATGAATTGAACAGAAAAGTTTCAGAATCATTACACTACAATTCATCAGCCATCAAGAGAGCAGCATGTTGCACCGTAATCTCCATAGAATAAGTCGTATACACTAATTATATTTCCAAAAACTCCATCACCTCATTTCAGGCAACCAGGTCTTATAGACGATAAAAAATATTTTGAAAGCACAGCAATATGATATTGCGTACCTTTCTGACAAAAAATTTTTGGCGCAGTTCAATTTTAACCAGTTCGTCAAATACTAAACAAACCAGTTTAAAAATGAAATTTTATATTTATAACAATTTTAAAACTACAAGATATTTCTTAAAAACAGAATTTTCTTAAATTAAATTACAATGATTGGTTGTTCGTCGTCTGTGTTCAAACAAACGTGGACGAGACAAATGAAGAAAATCAATTAGATTCAGGTGATTGCTTTGTTGTTTGTCAGAGTTTGCGTGTGTCCGTTTCAATGTATGTAGGTATATGTAAATATGCGTGCGAATGTTTATTTGAATAAAAGTGGATTATTTTTTTTTAATATTACAAAAAAAACAAAGTAAGCTTGAATTTGTGTTTGAATCAGAAAATAAAAAAAGTTCTTTTTTTAAGAAAATTTATTAACTTTTTTGAAACGGAACGTCATTAGTTTGAAGTTTACAAATAAATTTTATATAGTTAGTAAAACTGTTGGTAATGCGAAAACATGTGCTCTTCACCTACAAGCTTACTTATTCAGCACTATATGTCAAAATTCGTATCAAACTGACTAAATGTAATTAATTGAGATTATATCTTGATCTTCGTGTAAATTACGCTACCCGCTTAAGTACTTGCTCTTCAATACTATCAAAGCGACAATGCACATACCTAACATACGAATTTCAAGATTATTATGGTAATCTAGTTCTTACTACGTCTATATAAACACATGAAGGCCTGCCGTTCAATGGCGAGTTGAGTTGAGAAAGACAACATCCTATTTGAATTATTATCGTGACAAGCATTGTACATACAGAAAATGAAGAAAATATCGTTGTGCGTGTTTGTCGTCAGTCTCTTTGTTATCTTGAATGTCAACGAGGCTGGTTTTCTTAGGGAGGTTGCCAAGCCCTTCGAAAGAATTGGCAAAGAAATAAGACGAGAAGTCAAAGATGTGAGAAGTTTCTTAAATTTAAATATTTTAAAAATATTATCATTAGTCTATCATAAATAATTCAAATATTATGTTTTTTCCTTTAATAATAACATGATTATTTCATGATAACATAAAATGGCCAGGTTGGAAAGGCTATTGAGCACGTTGGCAAGGCAGTAGGCAAAGTTGGAGAGAAGGTATTGAAGCCTGTTCTTAAACCCATCGGTAGAGTGGTTTCACGATCGTTGAAAGTTGTTGTCCGTCCTGTTGTCAAGTTGATCCAAAAAGACGAAAAGAAGAGGTGATCGAAGTTGTTGAAACCGTTGATGACACTACTGGCATTCAGGCTACCACTGAAACATTCGAAGTTGGAATGATTCGTCTGCACAACGAACTTCGATCAATAGAAGGAGTAACTGGAACAGTTGTTAGTGAAACTATTTGCTTTTTGAAATCACAGATGTCATGTTATTATTGTGAGATAGACTTGAAATGGCAATGTTACAATATTGGAAGGCTTGGGACGCACGTCTGGCCCAGATGTCAGCGGAGTGGATAACTCAGTGCAGCCTGAAGTACCCGGTGTATGGCGACAGTAGAGATTCCTACGGTCAGAATGCCTTCATGACGACCAGCGCCACAGCAGAGCCCATTGACGCCATCAACACCTGGTACTCCTACAAATCCAACTTCAATCCCGCCACTGGAGACTGTCTTGACGGTCAAGTCTGCGATCCTTATCTTCAGGTTATTAATAATTTTTACTCATTCTAACAAAATTTATTTTTACAAAAACCTAACAATGTTATCTTTTTCTTTATGGCACGTTTCCGTGTACAAAATTTTGTCTTTATATTTTTAATCTAAATTGAAAATCATTTCAAAAAATATTAGATGTGGATGTCGTACTTTATTTATAATAGTAGTAATGATTGATGTCTAATATGTATTTTAGGCCGTAATGCCAGAGAGTCAGTACGTGGGTTGTGCCGCGGGCACGTGTGGCTCTTTCAGTGGGGGCCCTGGAGGCTCCACCATCTTCTGCATGTACGCACCTGTCTGATTCACCATCTCTCACACTTTATTCAATATCTCTCCTCATTATTAAAATGCATTGATGCTAATTAAAATTGTGGGAATGATTTGGTTTTTCAACATTATCATTAACTACATTTTGTTTCTCTTCGATAATTAATAAAAATTTTGAAGCGAAATACTTTTTTTACTAATGCATGTTGATGACTGTTGAAAAATATTCTAATAGCTTCCCAATAAAACATCAATTAAAAATATATTCTCGAAAACAAAACTGGACAGACCAAACTGTATAATGATAATTAAATTTTTGCCGATAAATGTTATTAAACTTTTCTATATAGTCAAAACCGCTTAATAAAACCATATCAAAACTTGGCCGAAGTGTACCGATTAGGCAACTTGTCTTCTTTCTTAAATTCGATTTCAGTAATGTAATGATATAACGTTGTTTGAATGGAAATGTTTTATGCAATAGTGCTTATTGATCGGAAGACTAGATGAAAATAATTTAAGAGACTGATCCCATTAAGGCGTTAACCGACATGTGATTGATGTTTATAATGTTGTAGAATGCTCACAAAATAAACGTTCAAAGAAAATTTTAATTTCATTGTGTTCAACTGCTTACTAATAAAAAAAATTATTTTTGAATTTGTCGAATTTTTTTAATTCCGGTCAGCCATTTTTGTTCTGTTACACTTTTTTTTCACTTTATCTCAGCTCTTCGACTTGGACTATCGCAACACAATGCACGGTATAATAGGAAAGCCTGAACCAACCAAATGAATACAAATCTTAGAATCCCCTTTTCATTTAATGGTCTTTTGTATACATTCCGCTTCGATTAAGCAGACTGATTTGACTTGCCTAATAGGATTTGATTCCGGGCCTGAACAATGTATCCTAATAAGCTGCCGTCCGATTAGCCGTTTGTACGAAAAATCGGCTTGTACAACTTTAGTTCTCATTTTCAGGCTAGTTTTTAACCGCAACTTGGTCTTGAGTTGATGTAGCATTTCAAATTATGTTGTTCAGATTGAAAAGTATTTGAAGAAATACTGCTTATCTATCGCTAATTTTGTTTCAACATTATGCGACCAGCATGATTTCATTTAATAACTACTACAATGTCTTATATAATTAACAAATTATATTGATAGATTTTAATCCTGTAAATTTTTATTTTAAATTTTATTAAGTTTAAAACAAAAAACCAAAAAGTAAGAAAAAAAGAGAGAAAGAGAGAGAGAAATAGGCAGAGAAAAGAAGTGAAAAAGAAATGCATTGGAATAAGGGAGATAAATTTTATTCATCCTTATTTGCTGCAGTTTAAAATAAAATATTTCATGTCCATTCAAGATAAATTGTAGCTAGTTCGTATTTGATGAGCATCCATGTATAAATAATTCTAAAAATTATTTTAATGTTCTTTTGTGCTGAATACCTCTCTTGGAGTTTCTAAGTTAGAAAATTGAAAAAATACTCTTCTTTAATGTGTATGAATTTATTCAGGCTATTCAAAATCAAGTAGTTCTCGTCGATATTATTCATGAATTGAAATATAATACTTAAAATATTTTCTGAGTGCGTGATGAAAAACTGTTAAAAAGTAAAATAAAAACTTAAATTATTTATACAAATATATGAAAAAACAAAAAAAGACAAAATAATAAATCTTTTTTTTTACAACTACAAGCAAAAGTTTAAAAGTAAAGAATCAAACGACTATTGTAACCATTTATTGATCTATACATATATACCTGAAGGTAGATAAGGCTTAACCTACAAACTATAAATTTTGAAAGTAAGATTTTATTTAAATTTGTTGAGTGCAATGACACTAAAAATATATTCAGAGTTTTGAAGTCGGTAGAAGTCGGAATTTTTTGATGGGCCGCTTTTTGTTGAGTCGGTGTCCATATTTATCACTCGACATCGACCGACACCTACGTTTATAAATTTGTTTCACTAGCAAACCTTTTGGAAAATAAAAAAAAACGTGAGAATGTTGTATAATCTAAAATTTAAAAATAGTTTTATTATTTTATTCCAAACGGATTGATAAAAACACAAGCAATTAAGATTCTTCAATTGTTGATAAAAATTCGTTTTTTAAACTACAAATTGAACTTGAACTTCTCATGAACTCCTTTAAATTTGAAGTTTGCGCCAAGTGTGTAGAATAAAAAAAACAAATTTGCATTTGTTAATTGCTTTTTCAATGCGTTTAACCTCGGCAGGTCAACAACCTTTTTCACTGTTTTGTCTAAGACTTTCAAACCTATCTTGAAAAATTTTGCAGAAAGTTACAAGCCTTCATAACTTTGCGGTTATTATTTGTTATTACAAAAAAAATTTTTGTTTAAAATTAAGAATAATGTTAAATTAAAAAAATTCACATTGAAAAAAACTAATCTTTAAAAAATACAAAATCAAATCAATCGAAGAATCACTAATGAATGAGAAGTTCAAAAACTTCAAGTACAAACAAAAAATTTCAAAATAATTTAAATGCGGATAAAGAATTTTTAATTGAAAATAAAGCATGAAAATAATTGGAAATTTGAAAAGACCAAAATGAGAACCAAACACATACATTTGATTACTTGGTCTCAAAATCGGTCCCCACACCACCCCGCCTCGACTCCAGACGGCACCAGTCATTTATATGTCCTAAAAATGCCAGCCAAATAGACGAAATGATCAAGTGATTTGTGAACCTACCACTATCAAATTGGCGTAGACTTAACCTATTCTACGCTATGTAGATTTGAACACAAACGCAGACCTCGAAACGTTCCATAGCGTCGATGTATTTCACCTTTTAACAGACTCCAACCGAGCCTCCACTATTTAACACGATACTTAGTCAAATATCCTATAGCAATACAGCTTATAACTCATGCACATGCATACATCAAAATCTATATTTAAACACGCACATGAATATATGGACGGACGAACACAGTCAAATACATAGCACATACAAAACATTTCATTTTATGTAAATTATATTTTAAAATCTATATAATCTCGATAGATCAATATGGTGTATATAAGTAACAACCAAACCAAAACACAAAGCAAGAAGGCCCAAACCATACAGATGTGATGCTAGAACAAAATTAGAGTGACTGTCATAAAAAAGTGTTAATGGTAAATGTGTGTGAAATACCAAACAAAAAATCTGAATTTTTGAAACAAGCCAATATTTTGGCACGTTAAAACAGGCTCTGTATATTTTTCGAATCTTTCATTATTTTGAAGTTAATTATTTATTTGACATTAAGAAATATAAAATAGAAAATGGCGAAATAAAAATTTAGTTAAGTAAACACATTTAATTATCTTCAAGCTGATTCAGCCAGTAAAACACACTAATTGCTGTAATTATTATGTTCACCATAAATATTTTTTAAATAATTAACGTTATTTTTATGATTAATATTATTATCTTACGTAAAAACTGTGAATTAAAACAATAATTGCTGAAATTGAGATAGCCCCATCTGCGTAACGTTCTTCACGATTATTCACAAATTACACGGGCAGAATTTCAAAATTACCATGCTGATCTCAGTCTACATAAACAGCAGATGGACAACGACAAATTAAATAGCAATACTTTGATACAGAATATTCAATATCGAATTTTTATCATCGCTACGTTCTTAGTAAGAAAATGAAGAAAATATCGTTGTGCGTGTTTATCGTCAGTCTCTGTGTTATCTTGCACGTCAACGAGGCTGGCTTTTTGAAAAAAATTTCCAAACCCTTCGAAAGAATTGGCAAGGAAATTAGACGAGAAGTCAAAGATGTAAGAGGAGTTTATTTTTAAATTAAATTTTCTAAAGAATGTTTAATAGAATAATTTCATAACATGACTGTTTAATAATAATATACAAAATGGCCAGGTTGGAAAGGCTATTGAGCACGTTGGCAAGGCAGTAGGCAAAGTTGGAGAGAAGGTATTGAAGCCTGTTCTTAAACCCATCGGTAGAGTGGTTTCACGATCGTTGAAAGTTGTTGTCCGTCCTGTTGTCAAGTTGATCCAGAAAAGAAGAAAAGAAGAGGTGATCGAAGTTGTTGAAACCGTTGATGACACTACTGGCATTCAGGCTACCACTGAAACATTCGAAGTTGGAATGATTCGTCTGCACAACGAACTTCGATCAATAGAAGGAGTAACTGGAACAGTTGTTAGTGAAACTATTTGCTTTTTGAAATCACAGATGTCATGTTATTATTGTGAGATAGACTTGAAATGGCAATGTTACAATATTGGAAGGCTTGGGACGCACGTCTGGCCCAGATGTCAGCGGAGTGGATAACTCAGTGCAGCCTGAAGTACCCGGTGTATGGCGACAGCAGAGATTCCTACGGTCAGAATGCCTTCATGACGACCAGCGCCACAGCAGAGCCCATTGACGCCATCAACACCTGGTACTCCTACAAATCCAACTTCAATCCCGCCACTGGAGACTGTCTTGACGGTCAAGTCTGCGATCCTTATCTTCAGGTTATCATTTTTTAAATCTCAATAAAGTTTACATTTACGTGATAGAATACGCCTATAACGATTTTTTCAATAACATTTGAACAAATTATGCCCATTGTTGCTTAGAAAACTGTTAGATTTGAATGATGTTTTTTTATATATAGTTATAGGATAACATTGTTGTTAAATAAATTGCAGGCCGTAATGCCAGAGAGTCAGTACGTGGGTTGTGCCACAGGGACGTGTCCCTCGTTCAGTGGGGGCCCAGGGGGCTCCACCATCTTCTGCATGTACGCACCACTCTGATTCACCATCTAACATTTACACAATATCTTTCTTCATTTTGACAGTACATTGTTACGAATAAAAATGATGTGAATATTTGAGATTTTATCATTTTCACTGATTTCTTTTTGCAATTTTCGTTCATTTTATTTGTTAAAAAAAATTTCAATCAAAATTTTTTCGTTATTTTTATTGATGGATGATAAAATATAATCAAATAAAACCGGTAATCAAGCCATAAAACAAACATCAATACAACTTATACACTGTTGGCCGCCTGATGCCATCATGGTTAATTGACGGCTTAGGGGTCAAGACCACTAAGCTTATGAAGAATGTAACTTTTAGTGTTATTTTAACTAAAGACAAAATATCTTATATAAAATAATCCAATATTTGATTTTTTTTTTAAATTCATTTTCTCAACAAGCAAATATTTTTTATACAGCCGTGTTAATTTGTGATATTTTTTAGAAAATCCTGCTATTTAATTGATTAAACTTGATTGATAAAAACTTGAAAACTTGTTCAACATTCGCTCTAACAGAATAAATGTGAATTGCTATTTCTCCAACGATCACTGAACTTTGAAAATTTTAATTTGAAATAAAATCTAAAAAGTATTCAAGTACGTTCTGAACGTGTTATGCTATCAATACAGTCTTGAAATAAGTAAAACAACAGTAACTTAAACAAAATTATATATGTATTAATTCATGCAATTTGCATATAATTCAGAAATTTTGAATATTTAATTCGAAAAATGTTCTGAGCGTGTGATGAAAGGTCGTTGAATAATAAAATTTGACACCAAGTTTGTTCAAATTTTATAAAAATTTAAAAAACAAAGAGTCGAAATCGAATTTTTCAAGATCGTGTCTTTAATTTTTCAAAATCGTATCTTTAACAAGATAAACATGCGCAGCGATATGCAATCTTGCGATTTCATACCGAAAGTTAATGCTAATAATGTGAATACAATCACATAGTTTACTTTCAGTGTGTTTTAAAACTAAAATATAAAGTAATTTTACTAAGAAAATCAATTATATAGACTGATTTTAAGTATTTTTCATTTAGTAGTGATTATGATTCAAAAGTTGAAATTTTTTTTTATAAGGACCCGGAGTCTTTTGAGAGCCCGGAGTCAGATATTTTTCATCCTACACCCAGATATTTTTTTATTATATTATTATTATATATTATGAGGAATTCTTTATCACAGGAAATTGTGGGTGCAAAATCTGTAAATCAATTTAAAGTTCTGTTTGATAAGTTCACTATTGAGCTTGAGACGAGGTACGAATGGCGTGCAAATTATCCAGTTTGATCGATATTTGGACTGGCATGTAAGAGTGTAGATATACTTGAGACGTGTGTGTGTGTGTGTGTGTGTGTGTGTGCGTGTGTGTGTGTGTGTGTGTGTGTGTGTGTGTTACTTGAACAATTTATGCTTTCATTTAATTAACTAATTTTTGGGGATTTGGGCTTATTACATTTTTATCTGTTATGTTATGTTATTCAAACATTCTTCATCATCTCTCTGAATGTAATCTTTTTTCAGACAAAGAATTTTAACTAAATTGAAAATGTAATTATATAAAGATTGAAAGAAGAATGATCATACCTAGTAAATAAACGTATTAACGGCAACTAAACACATCCTACATAGATAAGCGTTCGTACAGTTACAATAACGTTCGCACAATCACAAAATTTTGCACACAAAAATACTCATACTGAAGAAGAAGTAATTAACTAAATAACCTATTAATTAATGAAGTAATTAACTAATTATCTAATTATCTATATCAATATCCATGTAAACAAAACATGGAAACATCAGAACCCGCCTACATGAAATGACACATAGTCAAAAATTCACAAATAAACGAAATTATAAACATAAACACACAAACAATATATACATGTACTTATATATTCATTTATTTGTCATTTCTGTTTCACTTCATTTACGTAAAAATTAATTAATTAATTAAATAGTCAGACTCTGTAAAAACTGGGCTTTTTATTAATGAATATGCTGACTACAAACTAATTAACTCAAAATTTACATTCCATCTATAAATACACTGTCGACGCATGTATTTGTAACGAATTCATATCGTTGAGTGCTTTACGCTGTAATTAATGTTGAGCCGATCGCATATATATAAGAGGTGGTCTAATGTTTATCATGCAAAGTACAATTTGGAACTGGCCTGCCCAAGTTTTAAGTTGTGAAGAAATTTTTTCACTAGTTCATTGCAAAACATTACATTAACGGGAATGAACAAATTTATGTTATTTCTATTTGCAACCTGCCTACTGACAATCTTCCACGTCAACGAAGCTGGATTCTTAAGGGAGGTGGCTAAACCTTTCGAAAGAATTGGAAAAGAAATCAGACGAGAAGTTAAAGATGTTAGTGGATAAATTTAAAATAAAATTTTGTATTAAGTAAAAATTAAACAAATTAGTCATTTAAATTATTAATGTTTCAAATGAAAATAATTCATTAAACTGTTTGCTATTTTAAAATAGATGTTTTGTTCTGCTTACAAATAAAAAATGTTAAAAAACGTCAAACAATCATTTGTTAGGTTGGTAAAGTGTTAGAAAAAACCGGCAAACAAGTGCAGAAAGTCGGTAAAAAAATGGAGCACGTCGTACGACACGTGAAGAAGGAACTGATGAAGATAAAAGACAACGTCATCCGCCCCATCATACGTCCCATCAAGAGCATCACTGGCCCTATCGCGGAAATCGATAAGATGATTGACAAGGAGCTTGGACCAAATGAAAAACCCAAATAACTTTTTTCATCTGATTAACAATTTTTTTATATATAACTTTTTACGTGATATTTGCTATAATTTTTATTTGAAAAAAAAAATTGTTATCTTTACAAACTGTTTCTTACCTTCAGAGCAATTTCAAAAAATTTTTAAATTGTCACGTAAACTAGTACATACAACAAATGATAACTGAAACAACCATAAAACACAAAACCAATCCAACAATGAAAAAGGTTAAAATGATTTATTTAAAAAAAACTTTAAAATATTGAAGCTAAAAGGATGGTTAATGAAAAACACTTTTTAAACCTTAGCTGACAGTCAAATAAAATTTTCAGCCAATGACTCGATACATTTAAAAAATCGGATAATTTTTTTTATTCGCATAATTTATTGTTGTGCACAAAGAAAAAAGTTATTTAACCTCGTAAAATAAAAAACACTACATATACATATGTTATATCTATAGAAAATTTGTAACTATAAAAACTCATGAAGCCTTCTAGCCAAAGAAATAAATTAAAGAGAGCTCTTTCTTGCTGGATGCTCTGTAACAGTGGTGGGCAAACTACGGCCCGCGAAACTATTTTATGCGAGCATAAAAGGTCGTTAGCCAGACACATTGGCCAAAAAAAGGAGCCACAAATATTTAAAAAAATTCTCCCCCGGTTCGAAAAAATTTGCTATTTAAGTACATATGCGACTCTTCAAAGATAAAATAGTTTTCAATGCGGCCCTCACAGCAAAAAGTTTGCCACCCCTGCTCTATTAAAACTAGTATCAAACAGAAAACTGTACAATAAATTATAATAATAAGAAATGAATCAATTGAGAAAAAGAAGAATTTTCATAAAAATGATATTTAAATTTTATAACTTTCAAAATCGGCATTTAAGTTTTAACATATGAAGGACAACTTGTAAGAAGATGAAGATAAAAGGGAAAAATGATTTTAAAAATTTATTAAACATATTTGCTCGATTAACGGTATGAACATTTCTTATTTTGATTGGATTAATCGAATAAATACACACGTCTCCTTGACCGTCGGACACATAATCTTGTCTTAAAATTAAGTTATAACACAACACATAGCCATTAATCAATCTAACACTTTCTTGTAGAACAGTTCATTCAGTCACAAGCAAAGACGAAATTGTTTAAGACATAATTTCTCAACGAGATTTAATATAACCATTGAAAATTAATATTCAGGATTTGGTTTTCCGAAAAATTAAATTATTGGCAACAAAATTGTTTAATTTTTAAACATGAAAGATTCTGCTTATAATACAGTAAACGAAAATTTAGATTTGCAGGGATCATCAATTAACAATTTTGAAATCAACCCCCAGCCAAAAAATGCTGGATCCGCCACTGAATGAAGCACACTCTTGTTTCAGTTTTGTTTCTCAAAACGTTAAATATATTTTTTGTCAAACAAAGTTCTGGGTTTGTTACTGTGACAGAGGCCTGATGAAAATTTAGGTTTTTTAAAATAATTCGCTCAAACGGAAGGTTAATGTTTTTTTGTTTAACAAACATGTTCGCGCCAGAAAGAAAATTAAATAAATGTACAGTTTGAGTATTAATTTTGTTTAAAAACTATACTGGTTGGTGACTAATTACGTGATTTTGCTCTACCACACCAATTATTAACAACTTTCATTATACGTAAAACATAATTATCAGCGTAAAACGTACCTCAATAATAATGTTCGGTCAAAGTTCACTAATTAGGACCATTATCATCATCGTCGTCGTTATTGACATCATCATCGATCTATTTATAAATACAAAATCATTTTTAAAAACATTGAACTGCAGAACACTTCAAAATTGGAATACTTGAAAAGTTCAAAGCTACCGAAAAGGATAAAATATTATTAGCATAAAATTAACATGAAACTTTTTAGAATTAAAAAAGTGCATATTTATTCATATTTTACAATTTATGACAATAATTATTTGTTTAATTTTCAGCGTAATAACACAGATTAATAAATGCCATAACACCAATTATAATTATTACATGGGTAATTTTTGTTAATCGCTAAACAGATAAACACATACCCGTACACCGTGACAGACGGATGTATCATCTATATACTTATACGTTTATGTCAAATTGAAAAGCCTATATATAGTCGCGTTGCAACTAAATCACTCAAAGCAGGTTGAAGTCATTCGGACTGTTGTAACTCTTTAAAGTAATCGTTAAAGATTTGCGAGAAATGGCGAAGTTAACAATTTGTTTAGTTCTCATCGGTTTGCTGATTGTGGCTCAAGTCAACGAAGCTGGTTTTTTGAGGAAAGTTAAAAAGAAAATTGAAAGAGTCGGTAAAGAAATCAACAAAGGAATAAATAAGGTTACAAATGTGTTTATAATTTAGTTTTTGAAAGTATCAAAAACAGTTTTTTTTTGTAAAATATTTAACTATTTGGAAAAACCCCGAGGGCTAACTTACTAAACTTCAACACAAATAAATTAAAAAAGGTTGGAAATGTTGTTAGTCGTCCAATTGGAGCAGTCCTGCGTCCGATCGTTCAACTGCTGCCGAAGAAGCGCGTGCAAGAGAGAGTGGACGAGAAGGAGGTGGCTGGCAACCCCGCTGCGCTGCCAGTTGCTCAGGAGTCCTTTGAAGTCGGTATCGTTCGTCTGCACAACGAACTCAGAAACATGGAACACGTTCCAGGACATGTGGTAGGATTTATTACGCAGTGAAGAATATTTCAATTTATCATAAGAATTTTTTTTCAAATGTTCAGTTTGCGTAAGATTTTATAATTAAATAAAAAAATCAAATTCAATATTCAGGCTTGGGACCAACCACTGGCTGATCTAGCGAGACAGTGGGCCGTCCAATGCAGTTTGAGTTACCCTGTCTACGGTGACAGCAGGGACTTGTACGGTCAGAACGTATTTGCAACCACCAGTGCAACTGCAGAGCCGATTAATGCCATAAACACTTGGTACAGTTACAAACCAAACTACAACCCAGCCACTGGCGATTGTAATCCAGATACCATATGCACACCTTATCTTCAAGTTTGTATAACATTGTTTTTTTAGTTATTTAAAAAACATATATATATTAATTTTATAAAAACTAATTTTCATAAAAAATATGTGATCAAGTCATAGTTAAAAGTTAAAATGCATAGACTAAAATGCTGAAGAGTAATAATTAAACATAAAAATGTACACAGGTCACATTGCCAGAAAGTACTTTTTTGGGTTGCGCTCAAGTTACTTGTCCAACGTTCTCACATGCCCAGACCACAACAAGTGGTTCCATGATCTTTTGCTTGTATGCTCCCAATTAAATATCAACAAACTAAATAAAATTTAATTGTTTTTTATTTCATTTGTTTTTTTTTCAAATAAAACCATGTTTTGAATTTTTTTAATTCAATGTAATTTGTCTCAAATCAGTATGTAAGAGATGTGCGATTGTCACATGAAAAGCAAAACAGCAGTTTAAAATTTGAACAATTTAATTGTAAAACACTTGTTTAAAAGCAGAAACTTCAATGCTTAAAAATAATTTGTCTTCTATAGCGGAGGAGTCGCATTCAACAAATTGCCAACCATCGCTTGGTGAAAGTACAAAATTAATTGGGAAAAAATTAACAACGGTAACAAATTTTTAGATAAAAACTAGTCGGTTTGTTCTCAGATATTTATAAAATATATGTTGGATTAAAAAACTTAAAGATTACAGAGATCAAAGAATATCAAATTAATTTTTTTAAAACATTCTTGATAAATATTGATAAATGGAGACAGTTAAGTGGGGTCGATCGTAAGTGGTGACTGTTAACAATTCTTCATCTACCAATCAATGATTCTTACGAATTCCTTTGGTACGGAAACGTTAAGGTCTTTAAGTTCATATTTTTTCCACTCCGGACTATCTCACATTATTTTTTTATTTACAAGTTTCTGTTTTCCAAGCTTATTTTTCTCAGGACTTTGATTTTCATTTTTTGTCTCCAGCTAACTTTCAATAACTTTTTGTGACAATCTATTTCAAACATTTCCATTAAAACGACATAAAGACGCACATGTTATTAAGAAACAAATTATTACTTTTACCAACTTAATTGGATGGACACATAACCACTCTTCCAAACTTTCACTAACACACAAACAAAGCCAACGATCAACCATAACGTCAATTATTTTCCTCAAAAGTTGCTGCTAGTCAGGAGACGTGTTCTTACGTGTTCTTGTTCATCGATTTGGTCTCTCTGTTCTCTCATCGTTCTTCAAAGTTTCACATGTGTTTCGCCATTGTTTATTTTCCAATCATTGTCTCAAAGTGTCTATGACCCTCTACGCTAATAGCATAATAGCAGATTGAAATATTTCATTTTTATGTTTCCATTTCTAACCTCACCTATCCATATTTTCCACTACCTGTTCATATGAAAATATGAAGACGTGAGCAGTAGTAATAAGAATGAATTAATTTTTTAAATTTGGTTTTTATCCAGTATCTGAGTTTTGCACCGATTTTTGCTATCAATTTTGACTCTTCGTAACATAACGTCATTTCAATATTTTATGATGATCTGGATGATGAGGACTGTTCAAGGTGGCACTTTCTGGAAGCAATATATTTATGCACTCTTGAAAACTAATAAAAAAAATAAAAAAACAATCTTTAGGATAAAAATATGTCACTAGATGAACGAGTTTAAAAAAAACGTTATAAGCATGCCACTGAAAATAAGTTCGATTTTGTACAGCCATTTAAACGACGATTTTGAGTGCCAAGAAAAAAGGAAAAATAGTTCCAAAGTTTTATGGTTATACTTGTTCATGTTTCATAACTTTAATGACAATTTTTTTACCAAAAATGAAATAGAGTCGATTAAAAAAAGTTAAACTTCTATACCACAACTTATTTTCATCTACTCAACCCAATGACTTTTTATTCAATAAAATGAAATAATCAATAAAATCATTAAAATATATTATTTAAAAATTATTATTATTGCAGCTTCAAATGTTTTTGAAACTTTGCAATCTTGTTAATGTTGATAGAGCCAACGGAATCACGTAAAAATTACCCTTTGTATTATCATAGAAACTATGCTACTACTATCAAATACTAACCATAGCATGCCAAACTACCACTTCTTAACAATTCTACTACCACGTTATTGTTACTATTGATATTATAAATAATTGATACTATGTTATTGTTGCTATTGATACTATAAAAAAATTAAAAGAATAATATTATTAATAGCATACAAAATAATAAAATCAATGTATACATTCGAATAAGTTATAAAGTTCAATTGAAGTGTTGATTTAATGAAGCTCTGGTTACTATAACACAAGCCAAAAGAAATACAATGATAAAAAGACACATTTGAAATTAAATTAATTTTTAAAAACTGAATTTTTTAAAAATCAAACATACCGGTGGTTTTTTTATTGACTTCATATCGTAATATTAATATATATATATATATATATATATATATATATATATATAATGTAATATAATAATACTTACTGACAGATGTGTTTTAAGACGTTTTCGAAACTCTGATAATGTTATTCCAGGAGACAATCCCAGCCACTGGGCACCTATCATATCCTACAACTATCTATCTCAGTTGAAGATCAAGTTTAAAAATATAGGCACAAAGAAAACATAGCAAACAAATTGCACAATATTAGGCAAATGTCAAAAATTTAGCCATAAATAACCACGTATATGAATAATTTAGAAGTGTTCGTGTTAAAACTCACGACAATGTTTTTGTTAAATTGTTAAAAGCTCTTGAAAATGATTTCTTCTTAACAGCATTATATTGTTTTGTTGCAGTCTGTTTTATAAACTCCGAAAACAAGTTTGAATGCTGAAAACACCGGCTACCAAAGATTACTTGGCTTTCAGGAATTACAATTATTATTTTTAAGTACTACTGATAATGATGACAATGATAATAAAACAATAATAATACTATCTGTAACAAATGAAATGATAATATCAATAAATATATTTGATTAATAAGCACTGACTAATGCTATTTAAACTGAACTTGAATGTTAATTCACGAATAATTATAATAATAATAATAATAATAATAATAATGCCCTTAAAACAAATCATAGTAATCCAATGAATGAGGTCAGAAAAAACAACATTTTAAAAACAAACGCGGGCCAATCAAATTGATCATGCAGAAAAAAAATCTCTGCCGAAAAGTGAGATTTAGTTTTTTGATGTTCTGGTCTTTGTCACGTTAAAGCGGGAAAACAAAACTGTGCAGGCAGACGCAGATGTTTGATAATGAAAATTATTCCACTCCTATAAAACATCTTGTCATTACTTCTGAAATAGCTCTAAGAAATTTATGACAAACTCCATATTGTTACAAAACATTTGTAATTAAGAATGTACAACAGACGAAAATAATTCAGGAATTTAACAATTTAAGTCAATCCTGTCGATAACCAAATATATAATCCAGTTATTGTTATTATTTTTCACATGTTTTTATTTCTTTCATTTTGAAGTTTTCATATGATTTTCCTCACACAGTATGTTCAATGTTGATGAATATTAAATTTACATATCAAATTAAAAATAAATTTTCAATGTTGAGAGCAACAAATAATAATCAGCTTAGAAACAAAATTTTTATGTTAACTAACGAATGAATAAACGTTTAAAGTCACGTTCATGCGACGGGGCAGCAGTGAATTGCATGGATCTGTGTTGCAGTCACCATGTTCGAATGCTAGAAAGATCTCAGTCTATCACAAACATGTATGGCGCGTTTTTTGCACTTGTGCTCAAGTGTACGTTGTCTAACTCTATTAAAATACGATCTATCTAATCAATTTATTTTACCAAAATATAGAAAGCGTTTTAAAACTCTTTGAACCTTTTGTTAATTTGCAACTGAAGGATTGTCAATAATTTATCAGTTTTAAATACAACCAAAGTTTAACTTCTCAGACATATAACGACTACATGAAGTGCTCTGAAATATCTCTTTTGTTTCCAAAAAACAACTTTGAACGGCTTGAAAAAAAAATTGAAGGTATAAAATCAACTAGTCGGTCCATGTCTTTTGAAAATACCATTCTACCAATTTACATTTTCTTATTACATATTCTTTTCTAGACAATATAATAAGAAATATTTTCAAAACAGGAAACACTTATTTTTATTAGAAAAAATTTCTATAAAAAAATTATAATTTCTGAGTTGCTGTTGTGGAAAATCATTTTCGACCACTTGTGAATAGATGTGTTTGCTGAAGTGGTCGGATTTTTATAAACTTGAGGCTTGAAAATGATTTATTTAATTTGGCTTTCAAGAAGTTTATTTTGTTAAACTCCTAAGTGCACTTGATAATATACTAATATTAAATTTTATTCTTTAACCGTTGTTGTGATCACAAAATTTTTCGAAATAATAAAAACGATTGAGCGTTTTTTACGCTGAAGATGAACTTTGAATCATCTGTTTTTTGAAGTGGATGATGTTGAATTAATGAAGAAGAGAGATCTCTATATAACCGGTCACCCTTGTGTCTATTGAAAAAAATTATCTACAAATTTAAACAAAAAAGTTGAACTTATATCACTAGAAGAATGAGGAAGTTACTTCTAGGGCTGCTTGTTGTCTGCCTGCTGCTGACAACCATTGATGAAAGTGAGGCTGGATTCTTGAGGAGACTTGGTAGAAACCTCCGTCGAGAATTCAGAAAAGTAGGATAATTTATACAAAAACCATATAATTGATTTTTAATAAACTTAACAAATTATAAAAAATTAATTGTATCTGCTTGTAATTTTTTATTTTTAGGTAGGAAAATTTGTGAAAAACAATGTTCAAATAAGCGGGCAAGCTGAAGTATATGTTGAAATACCAAGGCGAAGAGGATGACGTGTTTGAAACCCATGAAGGCTTGCAATAAAAACTAATGACAGTTACATTTTCAATAGATTTTTTTATTTTTATGTTTATATTATTCAGATGACAGTTCTCATCCATTTTAAAATTTCATCTAATTTTTGTTAATGAAATTCTTGAATCGATCGAGAGTATAAATTTTGTTTAACCAAATAGAATGAAAAACTAAAAATGAAGTAAACAGTTTTTTTAAAAATCAATGACAACACGACGCGACAAAAACGGAAATTCAAGATAAAACAAAAAGTATTATTTACTGGACATTATTGTACATACATCTGTCATCATTATTTTACAATCTTATAATCTGAAAAAATTCTAGTTTTATTAAACTTAATTGTAGGCATTTCAATGATTGGAGCAAACAGAGGAAAAATTTGTATATCTCGGTTTGCTTTGCTTCAAACTCCGCGCACATATGCTAAACAAGCTCTCTCTGTGTGTGTGTATATCCGTCCACCCAATCAAATTATGCATCTGCGAATTCGAGGAAGTGTGTAGGCTGTGCATGTTTTTATGCATGTATATAGAAAAGATAATCCAATAAATGTTGATGAAATTGATGTTCATATTTGCCTAATTGGTAGATATAT